CCCCAAAACCCCAAAACCCCAAAACCCCAAAACCCCAAAACCCCGTAATTCATTCGCAACGTTGAAAATGTTTCGTGTGCAACAAATTTTATCCAATCATTAATGTTAAGCCTCCAAGAATGGTTCCTACTGCAGTTAAGTATAGGTAGTTAAGCTTCTCTAAGTGGGCTTTTTGTTCTGAGGAGAGTGACATTTCTTTCCTTGCAGCGATAACTATAGGGTCATAAATCGTCTTAAAAACGCTTGGTACAAGACTAGTAATTACAGCCAAAGAGTACCCTCCAGTTAAAGTAGGAGAATCGCTGAAAGTATTTAAAATCTGATATGGCTTGTAAGCATTCGCATGATGATCTGAGTGTCTTTGAAGTTTAAACAGGATATAATTTGAGTACCGTCTCGAAGAGTTCCAAGAGTGCATAATATTTACACTCTCGTATATGCCATTCTCATCCTTTTTCCTCTCAAGGCCATAATGCTCAATATAATTAATGGTCTCTTGGAAAAAGATAACCAGACCACCATAGACCAAAACAAAAAAGAGCCCTCTGGCTCCTCATAGATAAGTGATCAATACAGCCCAGACCACGTGAGCAATATTAAAAGAGATCATCCTATTATTCAGAGATAAAGAACCTTCTGGAACCCTTTTATTAGCGAGCCTGTTTGTTTCATAGTCCCAGACAGATTTATAGCTTCCGATAAAAGATCTGAGAACGAAAGAATAAAGAGACTCCCCAAACTTTGCGGTAGCTGGATCCTTTGGAGTAGCAACATGCTTATGATGGCCTTTAATATGCTCGATAAAGAAGTGGCTGTAGAATCCTTTGGAGTAAACAAGTGTCCCACATATCTTATGTATAGTCTGCTTCCGATGTAATTGCTCATGGCCAATCGTGAGAGCAATACCTCCTACGTGGCCAGTTACCAAAATTAAAGTAATCTGATCTGAAATACCATTAAATTGCCCAAAACTGAACACATAGATCCCCCAAAAGTACGTCAAGAAATCAAGGAACCAATAGAGATACAGTGGGATCAAAAACCTATTATCCTTCTCAAACTCCTTGACTTGAGAGTTTTTCAAGTTATAATCATCTCACGGCAAAGCAGCATCAACCAAAGGGACTATGAAATAAATCAAAAATAGGACAATCAAAATACTATGATTCCAAAAATACCACGAGTAGAATAAAAGTACGAAATAAGGCACAAAGTTGAAGTAAGGCAGGATATCCGCCCAGGTTGCCTTCCCTTTCTTAGTAATAGCAGGAGCAGCTTGGTCAGTATCATCTGTATCTCCACTTTCAACAGATGCTTTCCTCCTGTGGAGTCCTTGTTTGTTCATTTTGGAAAAATGATTCTAAAGAATTCCAGCTGTAGAATTAATATAGGGGTTTTGGGGTTTTGGGGTTTTGGGGTTTTGGGG